AGAACTCTGGGAGAGGAGCACAGTGGGGGTGGGGGTGAGAAGGATATGATGTGAGAGCCTGGAAGTCTCAGCTCCCTAGTAGAGACACCCTCAGGCATTTGGAATGTGGGCAGGGATTGAAATGGGAACATGGGGTCACTCACATGAAGGGGAGAGGTGGAGGATGCCCACACGTAAGCATAAGGTGGAGGAGGAGAAAACAGTCGAACAAAATGACAGAGAATTAGTAGTCTGAGAAGTGGGATTAATTTAAATCAGCTAACAAATATTCATGATTTACTCACCATGGGCCCAGTCCTAGCTAGGTGCAAAAATACCAGAATAAGCATAGAACTTGCATGTGGAAGTTCACTGTCCAGCAGAAGAGACAAATAGGTAATTGAAATTGGCATAATGTACACATTTCTAAAATATATATTCTGGAGTCTTCTCTTGGCTGCAGCAACCCTGCTGTGGCCATCATTCTGAAGCCTGCAGGGTATCTCTACCAGGAAGCTGGCACCTGCACACAAACACATCATATTCTCACCCCAATGTGTGTGCATCTGTGTGCATGCATGCACATGTGTGTATGTATATGCATGTATAGAGGAAATATAATTTAGAGAAAGGAGTAATTTACTCCTCACAATCCACACCAAAACCATCTACAAATTGTCTAAATTCTCCTTTCAAAATCTATCCTAATTCTATCAGAGTCTTTCCTCTCCATTGTTTATTCCTCACCTGGACATCAGCAAGAGGCTTCTAGCTTTCCTTCCCGAGTCCACTGTCACCCCATCTAATCTGTGCTCTGCATAGCAGCGGAATGACCTGCTGGTACATGCATGGGCTCAAGCTCTGCTCTGCTGGTAACTGCAATGGCTTTCATCACACAGCAGATGTGGTCCATACTTCTTCCCAACACCAGCAAGACCCTCTGAGGCACATCTAGGTTTCTTGCAACCTCAGCTCCTGGCATTTCCCCTTATCCACAAGGTTCAGCCACACATTCCTTCCTTTGGTTTAGGCTGTCCACTGTGCTCAGGATACCTCCTTTGTTGCCTTTGGTGTCTCTTGCTTAACCCTTGGACCTCATCCCACTTTGAATATCACCTCCTCACACTCTCCCAGATCCTCCTAAGCTATGTAAGCATCTCCTCCCCGTGCCCCTCCCTCAGCAGTTAATGTCTATTTCTACAACCTGTTCATTTCCTACATGGCTTTTTTTTTGCAATCTACAGCTGCATATTGATTCATTCACTCAATAAAAGTTATTGAGGCCATACTATGATGTGCACTATTATAGGAGATGAATATATAGTGATGAACAAAAGAGATGAGGTCTCTGCTCTCATGAAATGTGCTTTCTAGAAAGAGGGGATTGACAATAAGCAATGGTAACTATTGAATAAATAGTGATTTTTGGAGAATTCAAATAGAGTTCTATAGCAAAGACTACATGATCAGGAAAGGCCTCTCTGAGAAGGTGACATTTAGATTGATATCCAAGTGATGAGAATACAGCTATTCAAACATCAGAGGGAAAAAGGGTAGCCCAGACAGAGAAGACAGCTAATATCCAATTGTAGGCTAAAGTAAGCTTGGTATGTTAGAATGTAAAGGAACAAGAATGATGACACCAGCAAGGGAAGAAAAGAAGGAAGAAAGTAAAGAGGGTAAAAAGGAAGGAAGGAAGGAAGGAAGGGAGGGAAGGAGGGAGGGAGGGAGGTAAGAAGGAGGTCCACCATACTCTAGCAGTGTCCAGGTGAGAAATAGGCTAGCTTAGACTAGCTAGATGGTAATAAAGGGGGGAGGACAGTTGCCACATGTGTTTTAAAAGTAAAGTCAACAGATGTTACTGAAGAGGAGCAGGGAGTAAAGGAGGAACCAAGATGACATCTAGATTATGGGCTGTTTATTTTGTTTCCTATACTAGATCATGAGCTTTGCAAGGACAGGGACCATATTGATGTTGTTCGCTTGACATAATAAAAATTCAATAAACATGGTTGAAAGAATGAATGTATAAAGAAACAAAACTATAGGAGAACTGGGCCAGACTCCAGAGAAGACAGGGCCTCTGTGACTGGGCCAGACTCCAGAGAAGACAGACTAGTGAATAAACTGTTCCCTTTGTCATAACCTGATACAAAGACAAATAGTAAGATCTCTGAAGAGGGATGAAGAAGAGGAAAAAAGTAAAAATCCAGAAATTCAAGCCCAAAGCTATCCTGGTTCCTACAGAAGGTAGAAAGCTGTCAGCCACAGATATTGAGGAAACTGAGATCCCACTGAAGTCTAACATCACCTCCCCAACATCCAAGACTTCACGAGATTTTTGATGCATGGTTTCATGCTGTCTTTTGAGGGAGAAGCATTTTATCTAAAGAACACATTAGAGCTACAGCTTTGTGCATTGTCTGGGACAAACCCAGAGAGGATCTGAGGCAAACCCAAGGGCCAAAGATCCCCTGAGAGCAAATCAGCCAATGTGTTCACTTAAAATCCTTCCATACCAAGCCCAGCTCTTTGAGAGCATGAATGTATATACCTCACAAGGATTTCCTTAGAAATAAGGACTCAGTAGACTATAAATATTATTAAAGTCATATAGATTAAAGGTACACAGAGAGAAAAAGACATTGACACAGAGGAAAGACAGAGAAATAGGTTGAGAGAAAGAGCAAAGCACTGAGAAAGAAATGGAGTGAGAGAGAGAGGGGATGAGCGAGAGACAAAGCGAAACTAGACAAACATCAAACATGGAGAGAAGATGTGCGTGATTCCATTTGTCAAAGGGAAAGAAGGTAGATGTCTTTGTTCTTGGTAGGTTAATATGTAAATGACATTCTGATTTATTAGCGGTCTCCAGCAGATGAGGTGATGATTAGCACATTTCCATATTTATAGAAAAGCAACACTAACTTTCCAGATTTATAGAAAATCAGCTCTTCGCAAATAGCAAATTGTGCTATTATCGACATATGGTTTTCTATAAACAGAGCTGAGGTAATTATCCCTGGGACAATTTGTTGGTGGGCTCCTTTTGAATATTAACCACACTGAAAGCCCATTTCTGCCTCACAGATTTTAAAGAGGAGGGACCACAAGATACACCGGGCAATTAATTAGGAATTCAACACCAAAGACAGGAGCCTGAGCCGGAATGAAAGGCTTAACCATGACCACATGGTGGAAAGACCATGGGTCCAAGGGCTCTGATGCCAGATTCCTGCAGCCCTGGGCAAAGTAATTAACCTCCCTGAGGAGCCTCAGCATTGCTCAGGGCTAAAACTGTCACAACAACAACCTCCAAGTGTTGTCCAAAAAATTAAATGAGAATATACACAAAAGCACCTAGGATCTAATAGGTACTCAATACACGTTAGCTCTTTTTCCTTTCTCATGTTTCTGAATTATTCTAAAAAGAGCCACTTGAATTAGGTTTGTCAAACTCTTTTTTACATCGATCCATACTAAATTGTTTATTTTGTATCATGACTTTGTACACGTATACACATCTATATTTAACTGGCAAAACTTTCTTGAGGCAATAACTTACCTTCACTGCCTATAATCTACTACAATATTTTCTGTTCTATCCTTTGTTGTTCAACATGTCATTTGTGATTCATACATTGATTACAAGACCTACTGTGGGGTTGCACCCTGCAGTTTGAAGACTACTATGCTACAAGAGGGTGGGAAACATACTTAGATTTGCTCACCATTGTATCCCTAGCATGAACATATAATAAATACTCAATAGATAAGTGATTTATGAAAGAATGAATATATGGATACATGGCTTAACTAATGAGAGACCCTAGCCAGGAATCCAAATGAATGCCCCTTTCAAACTCCATGCCTTGTTTTACACACTCACTAGATACTAAGCCCTGTGTTGAGTATTAAAGAGACAGAAAAGCATGAGACATGATACTTGCTTTTAAAGATCTTGAATCTAGATGAGGAAAAAATATTAAACATTTGGAAAATTGGTTTTTAAAGACTACGCAGTGTAGAATTAGTAAGAATTTGTTGAAGAAAAGAAGTGGCCAGCCTGGGCTAATGCACTCAGGAAAACTCCTTGAAACTGGTAATTTGACCTTGGTTTTGAAATATGGGTAGATCTCTCCCCCTTCTACTCATTCATTGATTAGTTCAGTGGTTCTTAAATTCATGAGCATCAGAATCTCCTGAGGGCTTGTCATAACACTGACTGCTGTGTCCACTCCCAGAGCTCCTAATTTGGTAGCTTTGGGGTAGGAGTCTGAGGTTTTGCATATCTAACAGGTTCCCTGGTCAGGCTGATGCTGCCAGCTAGAGTCCACACTTTGAGAAACACTATTGTAGCAGTTTGGGGTGAGACTATGATGGTCTCAGGCTAAGAAGTTTAGATTTTATTGTTAGCCATTCAGGGTATTAGGCAAGAAAGTGGTAACATCATATCTGTGAGGTAGAAAGATTCTTCTGGTGGTAATAGTCGAGAATGGATTGGAGCCGATACAGTCATGAGTGAAAGATGAGAGCCCGGCCTCCCACTGTAAGGGTGCATGTGGAGAACAGCAGATGGACCAGAGCTATTCAAGAGAGAGGACTTAGGGGTCTTAGAGGTCTACATGGGGGAAGGAGAGGGAGGAATCGGGGTGACTCCAGTTTTCTGACATCACTGATGGGTATGGCAGTTCCATTAATCAAGAATCTACATTAAAAATAAATTTTGATGTTTTGAATAATAAAATTACTTCTTTATTACTAAAGAGGTAACCATGGTGAAATAGAAATAATTTTAGGCAGCCAGACAAGTATGAGTTAAAATCACATTTGTAGAGCTTAATTAGTAAGTCATTTCACCCTCTGGACTTCAATCCCCTGAAAATGATACTAATGACACCTCACAGGGTTGTCACGAGTAGTAAACAAGACCGTGCACGGCTCGTAGTCAGTGCTCCAAAAAGTGCAAACCATGCTCTGGTGCAGGCACCGACCACTGTGTGCATAAACCTTCCACTTACTAGATGATTCCATTTTTGTTCTGTCAATCACCAGGAAATACTCATAAGTGCCGCCCATCGATCCAGATGTTATGTAATGGGTGCCATAGTCATTGATGAACTTGGCATACATGCCGTAATTGTACTGCTCCGGAAGCTCCATTAGCGACAGCATCATTCCTTCATCTAGCACAATATTGTCCCTCCTCATCTTAAAATGAGCAGTCTGTACCTTTGTGGAAATTCTCATGAAGCTGTATTTCTGCCAAAAGCAACACCAGCCATGGAATGAGGGAAAAGAACAAAGAGAGTAGAGAGTATACATTTTATCATATGAGATAATGCAAAAGGTCTGCATTTAGCAGCTATGAGAAATATATACATTTACATATAAATATATGAGCATAAATATACATGTAATGGAGTGTTAGTGTATTTCACACACACATATTAGACACCATGACTTCATCTCTGTTCCCACTGCCCTGTCCAGGTCAAGTCCTCATCAGCACTCACCTGGGCTACTTACTATAATGTGCTTCACTGAGCTCCTCACCTCTATACTCCCCCTGGTCCATTCTCATCTCCACATATCTCCCTGCCCTAATTAAAGCATTGTGTTATGCAACCTCCTACACAAGTATTAGGTAGTGAATAAAAATTATGCTTAGAAATATTTTCAAAAGCCAAGATTATTTATTTGTTTAATTTATTAAACAGATACTCAAAAGTCCCTATACTTATGTGTACTATGCTAGGTACAGTGGACATACTCTTGACTGAGAGAGGCCCCTGTCCTCATGCAACCTACATTCTAGTTAGTAATGATCTTGTACTGTTAAGTAATAAAGAAAGCAGGAGCCTGATATAATAAGAAGAAGAATAAGAAGCCAGGACCAGGGTATTGTTGAATTGGTTTAAGAGCAAGAGGGTCATGCATGGCATTACTTTTGGGTAATGTAAACCTTGATCTGAAGTGATACAGAAAGTTTGAAGAGGTCACCTGCTTTTAGAAAAGTCCATATCCATACGTGACAGCCAGATAACAAATGATACTTTCCCCTTGGATCAATGGCTAATTTATGGCAAAGCTACAGAATGTAATTAATATTTGATAAATTCATTTTTATAACCATATTTTCATCATTCAAAATAATTTTTAGATTCCCAACAGAATCCACAGTCCTGGAATCAATGTTATTGAGACATTTTTGTAAATTTCTGACCAGTTCAGTAAATATTTCTCTGGCTGCTGATTGCCTCTCCATCCCCATCACCCCCTATTTTTCCTTCCTACTCTGTGCTTCAGCCAGCTGAAGTACTTTCAATCCCAAGTTTGTGAGGCATTCTGTCATCTCCAGACCTTTGACCCTGCTGTTTCCCAAGCCTAGAACACCCTACTGTTAACTTCTGCCTCCCTTCATCTGGAAAACTTGAACTAGGCTTTAAATCTCAGTCTAGGTAGGTGTTTTTTCTTCAAAGAAGCATTGCCTGGCCCTCGGGATAATAGACGGTTAGTAGTGAATGTTTGATGAATAAGTTAAAAACTGATTCAGCATACCAGCCCTCTGATCTATTTGGAACAGTAGGGCTTGCTTTAGAATTCTCCCAAGTCTAGTTTAGAGGCCCTGGCTACTTCTCTTTAATACAATACCATTCTAGGTATTTCACCATATGCTCCAGGTAACCAGGAAAAAAGATGGGTGAAGTGAAAAAGGTTCTAGTCTCGTCATTCAATTTATTCCCTTTGTAATGATTCTGTGTGCAAAAACATAATAAGAAAAATAAACGTGATTACCACTGATCAGACATTTCAAATTACACAAGCAAATGAAGGTTCAATTACTACTGTACTTTTTAATACAATTATAGTTATACGTGTTTGGTACACATAATGGAATACTGTGTGACACAGGCATTATATTTAATACCTTCTCATTGTACTTGCTTAACTCCTTCAAGAACGAAGAGGCGTACGATCCAGACCCACCTACATCCAGTGTGAGTGGGATGCCTGCAAGGCCCACACCAACGGTCAACCCACCTGACACAAACAGGTCATTTTTCAGTTTACTAAAAAGTTCATTTGTATCCCCATACATCTCTGAGGAGAAACTACTGTCTGCCAGGGCCTGTAAAGAAAGAAATGGATTTTAGGTGTGTGCACATAGAGTTATATTCCAATTCACACATAATATTTAAATCTTTGCTTTGAAAAATATCTACAGAATTTCAAGTTATTAGAAATAAGTCTTTTAAAAGGCTAACTGGTGCATCAGATTAATACTAAGATACAGAAAATAAGCAGTGTTTAGTAATTGTTTAGTGGTACTGCTAAAATATTTATGTAAACACACATACACACAATTCTGGTAAAATGCTATACTGTTTTGAGCATGGATTTCTTTAATAACCCTTCCTGTGGAGAATGCCAGTGGACTCTGCTACGGGAAGATACAGAAAGCCTTGTCTGGGCATGGACTGGGGTGAAAAGGGGCAAAGGAAGCCAGGCAAATGACGATCATTCTGCCCACAAATGTTTAGTTATTTCATTCCTGGTACACAGTAGGGTTGCACTTCTCTGCCAGCTTGAACTGAGGCATGGTCTTGTGCCTTGCTTGAGCCAAGGAAGCAAGGGCTAAGACCGAGTGAGTGGTTCACTTAAAGGCTACGTAAATAGTTGTTATACTGTATTGTTTAGAATAATGACAAACAAATAAATAGTGCATGGGATTTTCCTTTCCACCTTTGTATGGACAAATAGCATGAGTAGGGCACTGTTGCTTTAAAGCACTGAGATTTCAGAATTCTGTGTTTCCAGGATTCTTGTCCTGTCTTGCCTGATACATAGGTCCTAAGTTCCAGGGGTGTCCAACCTTTTGGCATCTCTGGCCCACAGTGGAAGAAAAAGAGTTGTCTTGTGCCACACATTATATACATTGCACCACATAATCACAAAACGACCTCATAATGTTTTAAGTAAATTTATGAGTTTGTGTTGGGCCACATTCATAGCCACCCTGAGCAGCCTGCAGGCTGCAGGTTGGACACCCTGCATCCTTGAGTTTAGAAAAGTAGCATCATCCATGTCTTCCAGCTTGGTTTATATTAGGCCTGATGGCAGATGTGGAAGTGGGTTGGGGAAGCCAACTCCTTAAACACAGACTCCATAAGCCTGGCTTTATCCTGTGTCAATATTTTTCCCTTCAGAAACTTGAAGGAGGGGGGAATATGCCTTGAAAATTGTTTAGAGTCCTAGGATTCTACCACCTCTCTCTATAAAGGGAAAGTATATAGATATAATATGTATGAGTATATAGATATAATGTATATGATTCATCCTCTCTTTTAAATGACACACACCCAGACTTAGTTCTGACAGGTCTGGGTTTCAATCTCATCTCTGCCACCTACCGCAGTACAGCTTTGGGCCTGACACTTTATCCTTCTAAAACTCCGGGGTTTTAGCATCTAAAATGGGAAAACGATGACATCTACCCCATTGTGCTGCTGTGGGAGAATTTGTATGCAAGTAGGATAATTGACACATGGTAACCATCGAACGAAGTTTGCTGTGTGGACGTCTCACCCAGAGGGTGAAACTTGAGGAAATGAATGGTCAAGAGTAGCCTCTGGAGGTGATCATGAGCCATGTGCAGCCCTGGGTCACCAAGGAATTTTAGAAATGGAGAGAATCTCAGCTCATCAGCAGTGTGCAAGCACTTTTCCTGTCCAGCCACCTCCTGCCCTGCCCCTGCTTTACAACAGGAAACTGGGCCCAGGGAGGGGCAATGGACTGCTCACAATCTTACATACATTCGCCCCTCAGTGTCTGTGGGGGATGGTTCCAGACACCCATGGATACCAAAATCCACAGATGCTCAAGTTCCTTGTGTAATGGCATAGTATTTGCATGTAACCTACACACATCCAATCTCCCGTATACTTTAAGTCACCTGTAGATGACTTATAATGCCCAGTACCACTTAAAGGCTACGTAAATAGTTGTTATACTGTATTGTTTAGAATAATGACAAGAATAAAAAAGTCTGTCTGTGTTCTGTACAGATGCAACCACCACAGATAGCCTAACCTCCTAGTACATGTCAGCAACAATGTAACACTTATGTTTTTTAACATTTTTGACCTCTGTTTGGTTGAATCCATGGATCCAGAACCCACTGATACAGAGGGCTGAAAGTCCTTGTATTCTAACAGGTCCACAACTCGGAAAGAGGTCTTCTGACTGACAACCCAGATAATAGGCCCCAAATTTGCTTTATCAATCTGGGAATGGAGCCAAGACACAGCAGGCGGGTGACCACAGTAGCTTACATCTCTCCCCAGCCCCGCCCTGCCTCTCAGTGTCCTTCAGCACTGAGCATGCAGCGGGCAGGTGGAAAGGAGCCTTCAGTGCCCAACCAGCTCTACAAGAAACAAAGTCTTCCAAGCCAGGCGTCTGTCTCCACCAGCAAGCCTCTCCTTTCTGCCCTCAGCCCACCGTGGCCTGTGTGTGTCCCTGCTGAGACTCACTTCAAAGCGGTACATGAGGAAGTTGTAGGGTTTTCGGAAGTACTTCTCATCCTCGCCATAGTACAGACGCTCACAGGCGGGGTCGTATCGAAGTTCCCTCCACTCCCCATTGTACACCATCTCACACTGGCCCCCGTAATACGTGGCATCGTATACACTCTGAGTTTCTTTCTGGGTCAGGATATTATACCTAAATTGAAAAGGCAGGACACTTTTGCGAGAGAGCACTGAAAGGGCAAAGACAGCATAAGGTATTCTCTGGAAAACAGAGCTGGAAGTCTGAGCACCGATTTCTCAAACTGTGTTCTGTGGAACCCTTGAAATACTTTCAAGGTCACTTTGGGTAACATTGGGAGACCGAGTGAGCAAGACCTGGGCCCTTAGATTCTCTTTAATCAAAACAGCCAGACAGCTCCACTTAGCATCTAGAACAGTGCTCCACACAGGAGACACCCCTAGATGCTTACTGAGTAAGTGAAAGGAAGATATGCACAATTATCAAGAGCCCAAGTACAGGATCCAGAGAGTCTGGTCCTGCTTCTCATCTCTGCTACATCTAGCTGTGTAACATTGGGCAAATCATCAAACCTCTCTGTGCCTCAGTCTAGTCATTTGTAAAAAGCAGTTAATACTACCACCCTCATAGAGTTAAACATTAACTTTATGAATTGAAAGGAATAAATTCAAAGGAATAATATATGACATGTACAGGAATCCTAAGAGTTTTTAGCATATATGAACTACTAAATAAATGTTGCTGCTAGTGCTTTCAGAAAAGGGATTTGCTGATTTTTATAAGAGCAGGTTCGAAATACTGGGTGTAAGTCAGAGTGCTAAACTGAGAATGTAGTCCTCAGAGAGGCCGTTGTCTTCACAGTGGCACGAGTGTCAGACTTTGAAAGTCAGGGAGACCTCTGTTTAATTTCCAACTCTGTCATTTACTATTAGTGTGATTTGGGGCACATTCTAGAATCTTCCTGAAGGTCATTTTCCTCTTTTGAACACCAGCCATAAATAAAACCACCTCTCATGGTTTTTGTGAAAGCTAAAGGAAAGCAGCAAAGTAAAACAGAAGTAACGTTGATAGCACATACTAGTCACTCCACAATTACACTTTCTTTCCTGAGCCCAGTACCTTTCCAGAACTATTTTCCCATGCTTCCCTCTCTGGGGTATTCCAAACCTATCTGCTTGAGTACTACTATATATTTTAGGCTATGGATGGGTTTACCATATTTGGGCAATGATAATGTCAAACAGATGAAGTATAGCTTTAAATATCTAAAAGAGAAAGTTAACTGAACGAAAACATTCAGAGTTGGCTAAGCGTTCCCAGACCTGACAATCAAAGCCTTTTGTGTTATATAATAAATGATCGCCTGTTTCTGTCTCTCAAACTCCTCTTTAGCCTTAAAGACACAACTCAAATGTTGCCTCCTCTGTATGGCCTTCTTTGATTATCTTGGACAGAGAGTCATCCCTCCTCTGTGGTCCAGTGGCATTCAGTGACTGTCTTGTCATATTTGTTTTTATCTCTGCAGAAAGTCACAAAGGCAGTGAGATGAGCAGGGTAAAAACTGAATAAAACCCACTCAAGGAAGGAATCAATGGACAGTTAGAGAATGCCTGTCATACAGCAGAAATTAAATGTAAGTTAACCCCCTTCTTCTCTTCCCCTCTTAATCTCTTTCTTCATATTAGTGGAAGCGGTGTATTCAGCTCAGATGAACTGAATACACACTCTACCAGACATTGAGCATACATCAGCTTTCAACCTCCTGACAGTTTTGCAAGTGCATATATTGAAGCTCAGAAAGATTAAGTAAGGTATTTGTAATCACAACTAGGTTTTTCTTCATAGAGTTCTTGGAGGACACAAATCTGGGCTTTTTTCCCTTTACTTCACCCTACAATTTCTATCTTTCCCCTATTGAACATATTTCCGTCTGAAGCTTAATACAAGCCCTTTAACAGGGCCAACAAAAATTCAAAGGAATAATAAGCCCTAAGATTGTGCTGTAACCCCTAAGCCTACATCAATTTTGGAAATGAGGTTGCAGAAGCAGCAGTGAAAAGAAAAAAACATAGTCAAGAAATTCCACTTTTTGGAAACCTGGGCAGAAATATTCACACATGAATACAAAAATCTGTGTATGAACCCTGGCTGGTGTAGCTCAGTGGATTAAGCACGGGCTGCGAACCAAAATGTCACAGGTTTGATTTCCAGTCAGGGCACCTGCCTGGGTTGCAGGCCATGTCCCCAGTACAGGGTGCACTAGAAGCAACCACACATTGATGTTTCTCTCCCTCTCTCCCTCCCTTCTCCTCTCTCTAAAACTAAATAAATAAAATATTTAAAAAATATATGTATCTAAGGATGTTCATTGCAGTGCTTGTTTATTAGAGAAAATGGGGAATCTAATTATCTTTCAATAGGAAGTAGTTAAATAAGTTATCATATAATTATACTATAGAAGAGTTGACAATATTTTTTAACAAAGAGCCAGATAGCAAATATTTTAAGCCTTGCAGGCTGCAGGTCTCTGTAGCAACTACTCAGCGCTGCCATTGTAGGGCAAAGCTATGCTCCAAAAACAGACACCAGGCTGAAATTGGCCTTCAGGCCATAGTTTCCTGCTATGGAACATTACAGTACTTAGAAAGAGACAATAAAACTAGGAGGAAATCTTTAAAATGTGTTATGAAGTGAGGAAAGTTGTAGACTATATATGATATGATTACATTCATGTAAACCATACTTATGTCTAGAATGCACAAAGCATGTTACAGGTGTATTTTCCAAACAGTGTGTATTGTCAGTGCATTTTTGCATGACCTTGACATACCTACCCCACACCATTAACAGGGGCCAGCTCTACAGAGGGCAGTGAGAGAGGGTGATTGGGAGGGTGCAGGCCAGGGAGGGTAAAGGAAAACTTTCAGTTGTTACCTCAAACATGTGTGACTTCTGTAACAATAAATAAAAATTAAAATCTAGGAAAGGCTTCAATTAGAAAAATATCAGGGAAGGCATCTAAGATCTTGAACAGAAAAACCATCAAGATGCCAGCTGTTGGGAGCGGGGGAGGAGCCATGCCACTAGTCTGAGTGCCTGGTGTGGGCAAAGTACGTTCAGGACTTTCCAATGCTCCTGACTGAATCATGTGAGACCAGATCGTGGTCTGTGATCTTTCTGCCAATAAGAAGGTAATTATTTTTCAAGTCAAATCTCAATATTTTATATTTTTCTCCTTACCCTACAGACACTTTCAAAATCTACATTAACCACGTTTTATTGGTGTAAAGAGCTGAATTGCATTCCCCCCTAACATTCATATGTTGAAATCCTGACCCCCCAAAACCTCAGAACTTGACTGCATTTTGGTGGTAGAGTCTTTACAGAAGTAATTAAGTTAAAATGAGGTCAGTAGAGAGGGCTATAATCTAATAAAAAGAGGAAAATTGGACCCAGACATATACAGAGGGAAGACCATGTGGACACGCAGAGAATATCTACAAGCCAAGAGAGGGGCCTCAGAGAAAACAACGCTGCCGACACCTGATCACAGACTTTTAGACTCCAAACCTGTGAGAAAATAAATTTCTGTTGCTTAAGCCACCCAGTGCGTGGCACTTTACGGCAGCCTGAACAAACTAATATTATTAGTCTGAAAGAAAATGGAATTTTATAGTCCTTTCATGAGTGTGTGCCTACATGCACTTATAGGATTCTACCCTATCTGGTGGGTGGGCCGTGGCATTAGGGCAATTAGACCATAATGAACAAGAGCTGCATTTCACAGCACCCTGCCCTGACCCTGAATGGGCTGCAACATGGCCGGTCACTTTGTGATGATTACTACATTTCCCCATTTCCACATCTGTGAAGATCAAGTTAATCATATTGATTTGTTCTGATTCAACCAATACTCAGTGAGAGGCTATTATGGGAAAAGCTCTGACATCAGGGCTCACGCGGTAAAAAAAAAAAAAGTTTATGTTCAAGTTAAGGGACAAGATCCCAGACAAATGCAAAGTGCCAGCAAACTAATAATACCGAGTGTCACTATGAGGCAGGTGCTGGAGAAGCAGAGGTGTTGAGAGTTATTTTTAGAGGCAGGAGGACATTGTAACAGATGTCCCAGTCCTGTTGGATAAGTGCTGGAAGAGCAGGACACACAAAGGACTCTGGGAGCAATGGGAGGGGACTAAGCCAGAAGAGTATGTGGAAGAAGTGATGCCTCGGTGTCTTTGTTAGCTCAGGCTGTATAAAATACTACAAAATGGGGGACTCAAAGAATAAACATTTGTTTTCTCACAATTCAGGAGGTTGGAAGCCCAAGATCAAAGCACTGAAAGGGTTGGTTTGTGGTGAGGCCTCTTCTTGGGTTGCAGGTGGCCACCTTCTCAGCATCCTCACGGGGCCTCTTCTCTGTGGGAGCGATCTCTGGGGTCTCTTCCTCTGATAAGGACGAGTCCTATTAGATGATGGCCCTACCCTATGACCTCACTTAGCCTGAATGACCTCTCCTAAAGGCAGTGTCTCCAAATATAGTCACACAGAGGTTAGGGCTTCATGATATGAATTTCAGGGGGACAAAAGTCAGTTTGTAACACTGGGTAGGAAAGTAGGTTACCCTGGTTGGTGTGGCTCAGTGGATTGAGCACTGGCCTACAAACCAAAATGTTGCCAGTTTGATTTCCAGTCAGGGCACATGCCTGGGTTATGGCCAGGTCCCCAGTAGGGGACACATGAGAGGCAACCACACATTGATGCTTCTCTCCTTCTCTTTCTCCCTTCCTTCTCCTCTGTCTAAAATAAATAAATAAAATATTTTTAAAAAGAAAGAAAGAAATTAGGCAGGTTGGAAACATGGGGAAGGACATCTCAGAATGAAGGAGTTAAATTTATTAAGTTTCAGAACAAAATAGTGGGATGCATTCAAGGAACTGGCCCTGAGCAGAATGCACATGATAAAGTTGGAGTCAAGGCTGACTGAATCTCAACAGATGAAGACATTACGGCCAGGAGGTGTGAGAAAGCACTGGTAGAGAGTTGAGCCCCTCTCGCATCACCCCAAATCCATTTTCTTAGCACTGTGTCATCCTGTTAGTCCTGGTTGTACTGGCAACTACAGCCCAAAGCAGAATGTGAACAGTGCTCCTGGGGAGTGCACTTGGGTCAGAGGAGAGCTATCCTCTTGAGACATCAGGGGAGCATTTGTGGAAAACATTGCTTCTTGGATGGGCCTTGGCAATAGAATTTGTGTGAGAGGAGTGGGCGGCAGAGTGGGCAGAGGAGAAAGGAGAGGAGGACACCCAGGTAGACAGGGAGGGGAAAATGGAAAACAAGTGTGTCATGTAGGCAGGACTGGGCAAGCCCCCTGTTATGGACTGAATGTTTGTGTCCTCACCCTCACCCCCCACCAAATTTCTTATGTTAAAGCCCTAATCCCTGCTGTGATGGTATTAGGAGGCGGGGCCTTCGCAGGTGCTTAGATCATGAAGCTGTAGCTCTCATGAATGGCATTAGTGCCCTTATAAAGAGGATCCCACAGAGCTCCCTAGTCCCTTCCAGTATGTGAGGATACAAGACTTGAAAGAGGGCCCTCATCTGACCGCACTAACACTCTGATCTTGGACTTCCATCCTCCAGAACTGTGAGAAATACATACATTTCTGCAGTTGGTAAGCTACCTGGTATGCAGTATTTTTTAATAGCCCACTCAGAAGAAGACGCCACCTTAGACGGACAGTGACAGCTGCCTCACAGGAAGTACTCCATAGGATCCTCCAAAAAAGACCCTCTTCTGTCTCCAAAACTGATTTTCATGATTGAAGAAAAACCAAACCATGCCCCCATATGGCCAGAAGGCAGCAACTCACCCAAAAGCTGCCCTCTCAGATCCTGGAATAGGGTCGTACAGGCTGCAGTCATTTTCAGGGACCCTGACATCATCACAGTTCTCCTCGTCTGAGCCATCAGAGCAGTCCTGGTCTCCGTTACACACGAGGTGGCGTTTCAGGCAGCGGCCTGAGAGAGGAGAGGCTGTGGGTGCTCCCAGAGCCTCCCAGACCCCACCCTCTCCCTCATGACCCACATTGATCATAGTAGCCAAGTCCGTTGCACCTCTGAATGCCCCTTCAGCTCTCTCCAACCTATTTCATCCTTTTTTCACCTCCCTGCCTCTGCCCTCCTTACAGCCTCACTGTCTATCACCCACAGCCCCCCAGCTCAGGCCCTGATCCAGGCTCCCTTCAAAAATCTAGCCTCTACCTTACAGCCCCAGTGATCTTTCTAAAATGACAAACGGTCCCGGTCATCCCCATGGTCTATATCCTGCAGTGGCTCCCCATTTCTCTTCAAAATGCTATAGTCTGGCCCCTGGTTACCTGCTTGGCCCACCGCCTGCCTCTCTTCTCAAGGGCCTGACCTGCAATTATTTGAACTGATATCCCTAAATCCCTGTGCTTTTGCACATTCTTTTTCCTAGAAACTCTTTTTTCATTTTCTAAGTCCCAGTTTAAGTATCATTTTGAAGACTTCTCTGACTCCATAAAGCAGATCCCACTCAATCTTGTACTAATGCCCATCCACTGTTTACTGCACATTATTTTTGGCTCCTTGTAGGTGTCTCTCCCAAAAACACTTGGGAGTACCTTGAGGTAAGGCACATTATTTTTTTCTTCTCTGTATCACTAGCAGGTCATACTTCCTGGCACATCATATGTGCCTAATTAATGTTAAGTCAATAAAAGGATGAATGAGTGAATTATATCTTTTCTAAATGAATCAACAGATTTTCCTACAAACTTACATCAAAATTACTTGGTTTAAAATGCAGATCTCTGGGCCCCCTCTTAAACCTTCAGAATGACAATTTCTAGGGTAAAAGCTCAGGAGTCTGCCTTTTAACAAGCTCCCGAGGAAAGCATTTTGCATGTTAAGTTTGACAAGCACATCTGTTATCCTGCTGGAATGCTACTCACCTGTCTCTTTACACTGGAAATCCTGTCCACACTGTGCTTGCTTTACACAAGCTGTGGATCCATGACAGCTCATTTCACCCCAGACATCACCACTGCAGATGGTTCCCCCAAACTTGTTTGGCTGCAGCAGGCTCCGGTATCGGTACTAAATCAGATTTTGAACCAGACACATTGTCTATCAATCAACCAAGAGTGGTGCAGGCAGGTCTCAGCTCAGCATAAGGAATAACTGTCTAATAATTGAAAGCTGCCTAAAAGGCTGTCTTTTAAAGAAGAAATCAGTGTACATAAAAAGTGATGTTCAACCAGAGGTGGCACAATCACCAGCTGGAATATTGAATAAGGCCTCCAAGCACAAATGAAAGGCTTGAACAAGATATTTCTAGGGTCTTCCTATTTTCTAGGAAGAACCTCCTTCCCCCCTTTTTCACCTTGTTAGTTCCTACTCACCTTTCAAGATCTGTGGCTTAGCTCATCTGACAGCCTCTCCTAACTGTCATTGCACACTTCCCTGTGCATTCCTCTCTTTCTAGATCTTGTCATATAAAGTTGTGATTGATTGTCCACTTGTTTGTTTACCTTTCTCACTAATTTAGGAACAATTTGCATATGGAAGCAAGGGTGGAGAAAGGAAGGGCCATGTGTTATTTGGCCTTGTACATTTGACCCTTTGATGAGTAGTCAGGTACACAGGAGGCACCCTTAGAAGATATTTGCTGCTTTTCCTTTGCAGCATTTCTTCTGGTCATGGCATCCTCTTTCCTTGAGACATAGCTCCTATGGTTCAGTGGGGATGGCCTCTTCCCCTCATAGGGATGTCTGGGTATGAACCAGGCAGGGCAACCTGAGCACCATATCTGACAAGCTACAATGATTGATTCAAGGATTAGTACATGGCTCAATCTTAAGACAATCAGAGACCTGTTGAGGATTTTCTTTCAGAACTATTGGAAAAGGCCATTTCTTTTTACTGAAGTTACTGGGAACCACGGATGTCAAGTGGTCATCTTGCCTACTGTGTAGAAAGAGCCCATGCCAGAGATAGACAAAGAAAGCTCTGAAGACATCATCTGAGGCCCTGTGTCCAGCTTTGACTGCAGAAGAATAATGCTTATTGAAAGAAGGACGGAAAAAATAAAAGTGCACACCAGTCTTAGAGCTCTATGATTTCACAATACTGCAGAAGGAGAAAGTGGAACATCCCTGCCTTCAAGAAGCTTAGAGTCTAGCTAAGGACATAAAATACATAACAATACAAGACAGGCTGTATGGAGGGTTCCATACAAAATGTTCAAGAAGGCAATGTGGAGCCCCGTATTTTCTGCTGCCTCTGACCTTGAATCAGCTACTCAGACCTCTCCTTCAAGAATGTTAGTAAGTAGAAAGGCAATGATTTGAGTGGCAAGAGATATGGGTTCCTGGCCAGAATCTATTTCTTGCTCGCTGTGTGAAGTATCAGGCTTGATACTCTGTGCCTCAGTTTCCAAACTGTAAAACGAGATGGTTGACCTAGTTGACCTTACTAATAATGATTACCAAAAGTTCTTTTGCTATGTCCTACATCTGAAAGAGCCTGGGCATGAGAATTAGACGGACTTGGGTTCAGATCCCAGACTCATTTACCAACTGACCCTGAGCAAGACATGTACTTCTCTGAACTTCTGGTTTCTAACATGTAAAATGGATATAATGACACCTTACCTTGGAAGGGTTTTGTGAGAACTAAGTGAGAGAATGTGTGAGGAAGCACCCAGCCCTGGGCCTGGCATATCACTGGTGTTCAGTAAACAGAAGTGGTTTCTACATCATCATTTTTATCATGCAGTCTTTTCCTGGTGATTGGCGGGTCAGTGTGAAGCAGTGCAGCTTTGCATCGCTTTCCTCTTGCCCACTTCTGCCTACTTAACCACTCATTAGCAGAGAGGCAGAGGCAGCAAAAAGAGACAAAGATCACACCACCCATTTGCCTTCCCTGCCTTTCAGCTAACAACAGCAGTAAGAGATGAGTGAACTCTGTGGAAGGATTATAGTTAGTGATCAATTTGGAGATATGAGGATATTTTCACTTTCCACCCACATCTTGCCCCACAATGCAGTAAATAAAGGGTTGCTCAGCAAACCAACTTAGAGCCAAGTCTCTTTTTGGCCCTTTAAAAGGTTTACCAGCATTTTCAGACTTGCAGTTTCTAACATGATAAAAATGGTGCCGGGATCTATCGCTTATTGATGGTTTGTTATTGGCCAAACACTTCACATTCTTTGTCTCACTTAATCCTTACAAGTTTGGGAGGTTATGTACTATTCTGAATCCCATGAATACCATTTTAAACTGGGTTGAAATTTCAGTTCTGCCACTTACTATATATGTGTTACTGGGTAAATTGCTTAACATCTCTGACCCTCAGTTTTCTCATCTGTAAAATGAGATATGTCTGAGAGTGTTATGGAGATTAGTGACAATATGTGTAGAGAAATTAGCACTGTGCCTGGTGGCTGGTATGCAGTCAGCAACCATACTTATCAACATCGTCATCCTTCTCGTAGCCAGCTCTAGGGCTACTGCAGAAGGATTTGTGATCGAGTGAGAATTGGATTAGGTGACCTTCAATGTCATTTTTATTCTCCATACAGTTTAGGGAGTGGCTGTAGAATGACGTGGTCAGGCGCATGGGCATTTTAGAATCACACTGATCAAGGTTTAAATCTAGGCTCTGCCACTTTCTTCATGGGCAACCCAAGCAAAGGGCATGATGATATCTATCATGTACAGCTGGCTATGAAAGTCAAATAAGGCAACTTATTTAAAGCATTCGCACAGTGCCTGGTATGTAAAAATGATTTAATAAATAGTGACTGCCAATGCCATTGTTACCCTTCCTGTGGTTCCTTCCTGGGAATAATGGTGCAAACATGAGGTTTGTTCCCACCGGCTCCCTCTCTTCTAGGTTGTTATCAAATAATGAAGACATTGTGCTGCAGAAAGGTTGGTACAGACATTCCCTGAGGGACTTCATGCTATAGCCTGTGGTTTGTATCATTAAGACATAATTTCCTTTTTTTAGCTAGTAGATAATGTTTCTTTCCAGAAATGCACATCTTTGTGTGGTTTTGAGAGGAAGAAACATATTAATGAAGAGAAACTAGAATGTCTTTTACTTAAATAACAGGATTTAATTATTTGAAGAGTTACTAAAGAATGTCATTCAATTCTGATTTAACCTGTAAGTTATTCATCTGTGATACATGTTATCTAAACTGCAACATGTGAAAAAAATGCAGCTTGGGATATTTAGTAGGTTAAATAATGGCCATACAAAGAAATCAAGTCCTGACTCTTGAAAATTGTAAATGCTACTGCATTTGGAAAAAGAGTCTCTGCAAACACTATTCAGGTTTTGGAGATGAGATTACTCTGGAGTTCCCCGGTATGCCTGGCATGCCTTCGCAGTGTCCTGACAGGAGAAAGGCAGAGGGAGGTCTCACACAGACACACAAAGGAGACTCAGGAGGCAATGTGGCTGCAGAGGCAGAGCCTGGAATGATGCAACCGCATGTCAAGGATTGCCCACAGCCACCAGAAACTCCAAAAGTCAAGACAGCCTCTCCCCTGGAGCCTCTAGAGGGAGTATGAACTTGCCGATAAAGTTTCAGATATCTGGTCTCCAGAACTGGGAGAGAATAGATTTCTGTTATTTGTGGCAATTTGTTACAGCAGACCCAGAGAATGAATACAGGATTTCAAAGCAAAATGAGCATTTGGAGGACAGTCTAAGAGTTTTCAGCATATCTTCAAGATGGAAGAGGTAGAACAATGAAGTTCAGGCTTTGATGTTGAATAAACTAGGTCCACATTGTGTTTCCATCACACTGTGGTTTTAAACAGCTTGTTCACAAGCATTTTCACATCTAGTTGAAGAGTGCGTATGGAGTAAGGAAGACCATCAGCCAAATCAGCAAAAGCTCACGTAAGAGAAGGACAGGGTTTGACTCAAGCAGTGGACAAGGAGTTGAAGAAAAGGGCACAGACAGAAGTTGTAAAAACAGCTAACATGTGCCAGGTGCTATGAAAAGAAATTCGTGTGCATTACTCACTTAATGCTTACAATAATTCTATGATGTAAGCATTGTTACTTTTCTCACTTATAGAGAAGGAATCGAAGACAGAAAGAGATTAGAAAAAATGCCCAAAGTAACACAGCAAATAAGATGCAATGACAGAATCTAAGCTGTAAAATTGGAGCCTAAACATTTACATTTGACAGTAGAGTGCCAGTTAGACGAGGTTTAGGCAGTGGTATACAGGTGTGCGGGGTACAGGGGCCTGGGTGCATCCAGCAAAGGCATGTGTTGTCTGTAAAGAGCTAAAAAACTAATAAAACAGAATAGAAGCTAGTCTCCATTTTATCTTCAGCATAAGCCAGGGATTCTGAACAAAGTCAGACTTTTAATATTGTTCCCTGCCAAAATGGTGTTGAGAAGTGCTCCCAACTTTTGCCTTTCCTTGGTATACCACTGAGTTTATCCACCATCATGGACCACTCAAAAATACTTAGACATGCAAGATAGAAGCACATCTGTTCCTTGGGTGTGTCAACCTTTTCAATGTATGGGAGTAGAATCCTTGGGAACACCTTCTGTGGCATGCTCTGGTTTATTTCAGCTCACCATAGGTCATGGACAGCTAGGCATGTTGGTATTCCTCCACTGGCCTCTCCAGATGACCCACACTAGAAGGCAATAGATTGGCCAGGACCCAGAGAAGCCATCAGAGATCAGTGTGCCCCTGTCCAAATAGCCACTTATCTGCATATAAGCCATAACATACACATCTTTTGCAGCCTCACCTAATAATGCCTTCCAAACAAAATCAGAAGAGGCAGAGAAAAGATCTACTATCCATATGTCCAAGGCTTCCAAGTACCTATTTCTAGACCCAATTTCTCCCAGACCTCCAGAATTGTAGACCTGGCTGCTTATCTTCATTGGAATGCCCAGTATATAACTCAAATATTAAATGCCCCCGAACTGCTCATCCATACCTTACCTTTTTGTCCTGGCACGGAAAACAGTCTGTCCACTGTGACCAGCTGCTCAGCTGGCAGTTAACTGCTGTGGGCGTGGAAGTCTCAGCAGCCCGGCTCACTCTGCTGAAGGGAAGAAAGACCCCTATTTCAATTTAAAACATTTTTATCATGACAATTTTTATTTTTCTCATTAAAAATGCAAAAAGTTCTCTTAATATGAAAACAGATGCTGAATTTTTCCTAGTGTTATTGAGGTATAATTGAAAAAATTATATATGTATTCAGGTATACAATGTCATGGCTTGATACACGTATACATTGTAAAATAATTACCACCGTGAAGGTCATTAACACACCCATCCCCTCACAGTTCCCTTTTTTGGAGAGGGCGAGAACACAGTATCTACTCTTATGGCAAATTTCAAGTACACAAAACAGTTTTATTAACTACCATCACCACACAGCACATTGCACCCAGAACTTACCCTATAACCAAACATGTGTACTCTCTGACCAACCACTCCCTATCTTCCCCCTCCTCAGCCCCTGGTAACCACCTGCTGTCACCTACTTTCTGGTTCTGCGACCTCAACTCTTTTTAAATTCCATATATAAAAGAGATCATACAGTATTCTCTTTGTCTGGCTTTTTTCACATAGTATAATGTCCTCCAGGCTCATTCATGTTGTCACAAATGACAGGATTTCCTTATTTTAAATAGCTGAACATAGGCTGAATTTTCTAAGTTTTCAAGTTTGCCCATTAATTTGGGGATCTGGGTCCCTATAGCAGCAGAACTCGACACAGTATTATAAGATATTCCTTTAGTTTTCAAGTTATCCGGAGGTGGGAGTGGACATAGAGCAGGGAGAGGAGGGGTGTGTCCACTGCTGCTCAGTCATTCTTGCTTGAAAGATTTCATTCTAAGGGTACCTCCAGCACTCGAATGATTTTGTCTTCCTTTTTAAGAATTACATGTGCTGTTTTTAAAATAAAACATATGTGGCCTATTGCCCTTTCTTCTTTTCCAATTTCTTTTATTGTGGTAAAGTACAAATAATATAAAATTTACCATCTTCACCATTTTTAAGTGAGTGGTTCAGTGCCATTAGAAACATTCATAGTGTTCTGCTACCATCACCACCATTTATCTCCAGAACTCTGTTCACCTCCCAGCATCAGTCTGGAGATGCAAAGTTCAAGCCAAGGAAAAATCTGTGCACATGTCCCTTCCAGTCAATCACATTTTTGAAAATGAAGAGTGAAAATTTTATCATGCTCCTATTGTGTGCAGGTATGATGCTAGAGGGTTTGTATAAAATCTCTCTTTTGATTCTATATGAACCCTACTTTTAGAGCGACAAGTACTGAGGAAGGCTAAGATGTTTGAAGAGTCAGAGTAGCAGAAAGTCCAGTCGTTAAAAACACAGGGTTTGGGGTAAGAGGACTGAGTTTGAATTTTAGCCACCTGCTGACTTTGAAAACTTGAGCCAGATATCTAACTTCTGTGAGCTACAGCTCTCCCACCAGTAGAACTGTGTTAAACATAATAAATATTACCTGATAGAGTTACTGAAAGCACATTAAAATATGTATGACATGTTTATTAAAGGTTGACTTTTATTATTACATGCTAGAACATTACATGGATTATCTCATTTAATCTCTATGTGATCCCAGTAGTCAAATATTATCAGCCCTATTTTGCATACAAGAAAGTTGAGATTCTTAAAAGCTAAGTAACCCCTGAAGTCATAGCCCAGGGGTGACAAAGGTAAAATTTGAACCAGTTGGCTTGATGGCAAAGCCCATTTCCTGCTCCTCATCCTGTTTGCCTGGCTCCAAGCCTGAGCCTCTTTCCGTAGCATCGCCACTGCTCCCGTAGCTTCAAAGCCTGGTCAGTCCAGGGGGCAAAGCCGGAAGGTTGTCTGTCACCACCAAAATTGCCCAACCTCTTAGAACCAGGCAGCCTCTGCTATAATGAATGGAATAACTATCTCCCTAGTGTAGGAACAACAAAAAAGACTGCTCCTTCATGCTACTTCTAGGAGAGCTGCTACTCATGATGAATAGCAAGGGATAACTGTTAAATGTTAGTTGCAATGTGGATTCTGAAAACACATCAGTGAATTTTATTGGACCCTGTTACATTAAACCCATTAGTCTGTGTACACTTTGAATGGATCTAATGCCCATACATGATTTTTGTATCATTAGGCACTGGGAACTTAAAAACTAGTAATTCACTAATTATACATGTTTTTAAAATATTAATACATTGTTACACAGTATAAAAAGACAAACTTATTAAGATTGCCAGTGATGTTCTCAAGCTCATAGTAGTAGGATATGTGTTTCAAAATTTTAATATTTGCTTAAAGTCTCGACTTTTGTCACAGGTAACAATAACATTATTTGATTTACTTGAAGTGATAGGCTCTCTGCTCACTTTTGAGACAAAGCCTGCCAAATCTCTGAGCCTGAATAACTAGTGTGACAACCATGCTGTGGAGTAAAAGCCATGTCCCAGGAAAAGGTGGCTACGTTCACTTGCAGCACAAACGACTGCTTTTTCACAAGACGGCCGTGGCACGTCAGGGCAGCAGCCCTGCATCCCTCTCGTTTTGACACATGGCATATTTAAAGAACATGCACTTAAAGACTGAGACCTAATACGATTAATGAGTTTCACTGTTTCAAAAAGGACTTTCTCAAGTACACCTTAACTTCTTTCCTGCGAGCTTGGTGCTACTCTCTTGACTGGTGCCAAGGCCACAGTTGTCTGACCTGCCATTGCTTGTTCCATCAGCGCAAACAGAAGGAAACACAATGAAAGGTCAAACATCTTAGTGTTTTTGTGAAATTGTCGTGAACTTGCAGGATCCGCCCCCTCCACTGAAAAGATCTTAGGGGCTCCTTGAGCTCTACAGACCACACTTGGAGAAAACTGTGGTCTATGAAAGGATGCTAGTATGTATAGAACACCACCCTTACTGTCCCTGCAAAGAAAACTTCAGGGCTCAACTCACAATATTCACCTCTGTGCCAACTTCTTTCGGGGTGCTGCAAGCCCTCGTCATCCCTGCAAATGAGCCATCCAACATTCTGGCCTCTCAGTTGTTTTTCCTCATCTTCGGGGGCCTTTCTTTTTCGCTCCGCTATCTTCCATGGCCACATCCTGGACCTTCTCACTTTCTGAGACAGCATCTCCTGCAAGTCGCTAACTCACAAGTCATCTGCAAATTAGTGCTCTGGGGCTCCACCGCCTCTTCTCTTCTGTCTTACAGGCTCAAGCACTCCCGCCACTCTTTTGTTTCGTCCTCATTGGGCCTCCATTCTCGTGACTCCTAAGCTCCCTCTCTTTCTGTTTTCCTTTATAACTAGTTTTTATTCCATGACTTAAAATTTTAATTATATCCTAATTATATCCTGTAATTATATCCTAAATTCCTGGACACCACTGTTCCCTTGACCACACCTACCTGGACAAGCCAATCCTGGATGAATCCAACTGTCCCCCTCTGTGCTTGGTTTGCTCCTGGACTTCTTTCAATCTCATCACAAACATCAGTTCCTTAGGGAAGCATTGCTCACTACCCAGACTATTTAGATACCTCACTTTGTATGATTTGGTCAAGCTCTGTGCATTTTCTCTACATTTAATTATCACACTTGTAATATTTGTATAATTTCTGTTTTCTCCATCAGATTGCAAGCAGAATGAAGGCAAGTACTGTCTGTGTGTTTGCTACTGAAGTTCCAACACTTATCATGGTGCCAGACCCAAGTAAAGTGCTCAGTAAGTATTTAGGAAAGGAAAAGATGAAAGAAGAGAGGAAAGGAAGAATTAAAAAGGGGAGGGGGAGAGGAAGGAAAGGAAAGGAAAGGGATAGAAGAGAAAGAATGAAAACAATTTATGAGAAATAGATTGCATTATTTTGAGATTTATTTAAATCTAATTTTCAGTTAGAATCTAATTAAATAATTCTGGAATCTAGACATTCAAATGGCTCAAGGTTTGGTCCATGCGTCATTTTGCCAACAAATCACCCTAACAATAAAAGTTTGAAGCATAAGAACATAAAGAAAGACAAAGGTTCTAATCATCAAAAGGTGGGAGAGAAGTTTGGGAGCAGAAAATGTCTCCAGCATTAGTTCTGCATCTCACTGTAGAATTGTCAAGATAATGTCATTGTAAGCCCACAGAGACTGCATTATGATGTCAAAATGGAAGGAAACAGTATTAATGGATGGAAGCAAAAGCCTAGACAGAACAGAGCTGTGTTGCCACAGTTTTAAAAGCTTTGTGACATGATGTCTAGACAGAGGCACACACAGTAATGCTATCACTGAAGCAAGAGTACAAAAGGCACACGGGACCATTCATTAAATCATTTCAGGGCTCCAGCCTTCTAACCAACAGCAATATGACCAGCCTTTTCTCTTATCACTCCAGTGAATTTTTTAATGTAGTTTATTTTTTGCTGATTATAAAAGTAGTACATTCTCATTAAAGACAACATAGAAAAGATAACGAAAGAAAAAAATGCCCCAGTTCCTACCAACATTAATATTTTGTCCTAGCTCCTTTCACTCTTTATTTTCATAACCTAGTTGAGGTCATACTGAGTATTGCATTTTATATCCTGCTTTTCCGCTTGATGGTGCAGCAGAAATGTAAACTGTTTATGATGGCTACACATTGTTTCACTGCCCTAATATCAAGCAATTAGATTATCGAGCACCCAGGTTTTCTGTATTCTAAGTTACATATTGAAGATATATCCTACACAATGGGATGGCTGAGTTGAAGAATAGAAGTGATTTTAAAGCTTATGACACTTATAGCCCAATGACTTTCCAAAAGAATTGTATCCATTTTTCAGTGACTCAGAGAACCATTAATAAATCTGTGGCCTAGTAAATCTTGGCAAATGGTTTTAAAGCATCTCCCAGCTACTGAAAATCTACTTGAGCAATAAGACACTTAATATAGAGCCCTGGGACTCCAGAGTCTTTGATTCTAGTTTTTCGTCTGCATGTACCTTGCTGTGATACTATGTTCAAGCTTATTTAACTATCTGGCTTTTAGTTTTCCCTCTGTAGAAGCACACAAGTCGATACAGTGCTACTGAGGGCCTCTCAAAGTGATCTCTCTGGAGCACCAGTTCCTGAGAGATGTACCTGAGGTCGGAGAGGAAAAGGAAAGTTACACGGCCAACTACATTTGGATAAATTGCATACAGCACCCTACTTCTGGAGATTTAAAATGCCCAATGACATATTAAAGGCTCTGAGAAGTTCTCATCTTAATTTACTTAACCCAGCATTTATAGAAATTTTTGAACATGTGTCATTTCTTCAAGTAACATCTGTAAGACTATGTAACACAGTTGAAGAAACATTGACATAACAGAAAGGGGGTTAGAGCCTAACAAACATGAATTGAAACCGAGCTTCTGTTACTTACTTCAATTTTCTTATACCTAAAAACAGGGGTAATCAAAACTTATAAAACTGTTTTGAATATAAAATGAAATTATGTGTGTAAAATCCCTAAGCACAAGTACACATTAGTTTCTTATCTCCAACTTTCTTACCCTATATGTGCTCATCAACCTCTCCATCTTAGTCAAAATGTATTGCATGCCTAAGCTTTATAGGGCCATGGATTGGTGAGATTCTTCCCATCTGCCTTTTTAAATAGGGTGGCGTATTGGGCAAAGGACATACAGCCTGGAGATGAATATACAGCTTGCAAGTCCAATGCTCAACCCCAGATTGTAGCCACTTCAGCAATTTAGATCACAAAATAAGTAATTAGCTACCAGTCCTAAACTAGAGGGTCAGAAACACTAACCCTAATTATTGCCAGAGCAGGGCACCTAATACGTTGGTTCAGTTCATATTCAAAGCTGATTGTCACTAATTATATCATCTTGAGCCAGTTCCATTCAGTTACGTGGAAATTACATCATGAAACTGAAGTATTTTAAGTTTGACTTTGAAAGTGTTGAGTCTCCAGTGACCTTCCTGTTGCTAAATCCAGCAGAGAGTTCTCTGAGTTGGTCTTACTTGCTCTCTGTTAACCAGTTTCCCTCTTGAAATTTTTCCTCTTTGGATTCCATTCATACCACACTTCCTTGCTCCCTTCCTACCTCATTGGCCAGCTCTCTTTGACTTTTCTAAAAACTGAAATTCCTCTGGGTGCAAGTCTTGTCTTTCTTCTTCTTCTCTTCTTTAGCAGCCAAATTCCTCATCATGGTGCCCTGAGCCCTCTGTGATCTGGCCTCTGCCCACTTTTTGACATCGTCTTGTGGCACAGCTTCTGCTCTTATGCTCCTCCCTTCCTTCAGGTCCTCAGACAGGACCAACCATTGTCCACAGTAAGGTCTTAACATGTGCCTGTCTCTTCATTCTCCCCTCCTTAACCTCCATGGCCTCTCAGCTTCAATGTCAGTCCTATAGAAACCCTGCCCCCAGCCGGCCTAGCTTCAGATCGCTCTGACGTCCCCCAACAAAGGGCCCTGTTTGTTTCCTTCCTAGAAGTTATCACAAATGTTACTGAAATGTTTCATTTAAATATTTACTGACTGACTGTATCATTGCACTATAAATCCCTTGAGTATAACGACTTATCTATCTATTTAGTTCACCATATAGCACCTAGCATACTTGGAATATTTAATAAAATCAATATGAACCCTAACATTGAAAACATGTGATGTATTTCTACATTTTAATGATATACTTTTACTGTTACTAGCTCATGCTTACCATTTGCTTATTATAAAATCTTAATAGAAAAATAGTTTTTTTGAGAAAAATATTTTAAAACAATGGTGATGATGTAAGATTTTGTTTTTGGATAAAGAAAAGGTGTCATTGTTAAATTTTTAGTTTGAAATCACTGACCGATCTAAAAGATCCATGCCAACTGGCACATTATAAATTTGTTCTAACTTTTTTCAACCATCAGTGTGAATGTAAATTACCAAAATGACAACAACATTCATACAGCCACTAGCAACAGTTTTCACTGAATGCTTACTCAAGACCAGGCATTGTTCTAAGTCCTTTTCATGCATTTAATTCCTCTTCTTGCTTTTCTCCCATCTTCTAACTCAGGAAATGTACATAAATGGCCTGAGGTCACACAAACACTAAATGCCTATGCCAGAATTTGAATACAGAGTAATTTCACCATGCAGCCCTCTGTTTTCAAAGCCAGGGTCAGACACACTGGCATTAGATGCAAAGACCTCATGATTTCCTACTTCGGCACTTTGTAAATTATTTAATTGGTTCTCTTTTGCCTTGACTTCAAATTTGCCTCTTCACTGATTTGTCTTATTTGATAAGTTCATCAAACATCAGGACTCTTTGTTCATTTTCAAAAAGGATTACAATAATAATCTTCTATAATTAAGAGTATCTCAGCAGAGATTTCCCTTTACCACAGTTCCCTTGCCTTTATCTTCTAATTATTAGAGATGAATTTTCTGATTTTGTTCAAAATTGTGTTTGCTTTAAATACAAGTTGCAAATTAACAGCTTATAAAAATGCCTTCATCCCTTCTGAACTGCTACTTAAAGAAAAAATCTCTCTTGCTATAAAATTTAAATACAATAGTGATTTAAAATTGAATCCAAACAGAATTTGAATAAAATAACTCTAATTACAATCTTCAATGTTGGGGAGATAAGGACAGCTTTAAAACTGTCCTAATGGTGAAATAAGGAGCTTCTTAAGCACCACAAAATACTCAATGGTAAGACATAAAAAACATGACAACAGGTTAGAAAATTCAAGGAAGTGGACTTGGCAAAATATGATGTACATACGAAAAGACCACTTCCATTCATTATCCCACTGCAGAAACTCTCACTCATTTCTATGAAATGATCCAGCATCTCTACAGACTCTTACCTTTCCCAATAATTTTATGTACATTATCTAATTGTATTCTTCACAACACTATGAGACACATATTCTTATGATTCACAAATAGAGAAGTAGAGGTTAACTGTCCAACAATACTGGAGACAACTATTATTTATTAAGCTAAGTATATTGTGTATCCAGGATCTTATTTCATTCATTAACTCTTATGGAAGAAGCATTACTATTCTCATTTTACACATAGGAAAACTGAAGCCTAAAGAAACGAAGTGATGTGCTCCAGATCACCCAGCCCCTGAGTGTTAGGACTGTGATTTCCACACGGCCCCCCCACCCCCCGCCTCCAAGTGCCCTCCCTTCACACTGCCCACCAGTCCTGCACAGGATTAGTAATAGTACTAAAAGAGGTCACATTCTAACCTAAAATGGCCTATTACAGACATTAAAGTGTCTTTGTTCCCCCCAAGGGGAACCCTGTTTGCAAATTTTGCAGAGACAGATGGCTGACTCACCGGTTCACCCTCTCCTGTGTGGTCACCCCAGGCTGACAAGTCATGAAAGACAACATGAAGAAAGCAACAGCAAACATCTCTTCCAGAATCCACCAGCCTATGTCACCTGAAGGAATGAAACAATCTACTCAGGGAGCCAGAGTCAAAGATGTCTACAGGCTGGGACCCAGAAGTTCTTGCGTTTGAAATGAACAGAAGTCCCTTGGTTCTCATTCAGATGCTGTTAATTAGTTACTATGGTATTGATTAGCCAAACACCCTAAAACCCCAGACACCAAAGGCCACTGTCCTTCAGACCTATTGAAAAATGATACCCATAAGATATTTGTTTAACCAACACCAGCTTAGCAAAGGGATCTTGTTTTCAGAATAAGGCATAAGTCAAATCAAGATACAGTTTCAGAACTCATGGTCTTTTTAAGTGGCTCTTGGAATTTGTAACTGCAGATCAATTTGTGCTACAAGACTGAAAGAAGGCTGATGCTGGTGTATCAGCTCAGCCGTAAACAGCCAGCAAGTCAAAGAAAATGCCTACAGGTACATGAGGGTTCTGCAGTGTACCGCCAAACATGCGGAGCCTGAGAAATCCAGGTAATTCCATGGACTTTCTGCTTTTTATCCAGACATTGGATATCATTAAGATCCAGCATATCAGTGTCTTGAGAGGACCTGATGCCTTACCTGGCCATCTCCAGAAGCATTCTCTAGAATCATAGTAACAGCTGCACATCTGGATGGATGATACCATACCTTCACACACTCTCTGACTCTTCCAGTCACAATGGGCATTTCATAACCCTTTTACTGCAGGTGTGGGGGTCATGAGGGGTGCTATGTCTGCATACCCTTAGAGCAGCTCAGGGTGGCACATCTGGAACCCACTTTTCCCATGAACCCCCTAGCTGCCTCCCTGTCTCATCCATAGTCCAAGTTCCTAAGACAGGTTCAAAGAGCTCACCCCCATCCCCCACACCCCACCCCGGGGCAGTATAGCTCAGCTTTTCCTCCACCAGTATAATGCTTTTCTCATGTAAAGCAGACCTCTCTCTAGAACACTGATCATTTAGGGGGGGATTTTGCCCCTCAGGGACATTTGGCAATGACCAGAGACATTTATGGTTGTCACACTTTGGAGGTTGTACTACCAGCATCTAGTGGGTAGAGGCAAGGATGCTGCTAAATGATGCACAGCACAGCTCCCCACCACCCACAGCAAAAAATTATCTGGCTCAAAATGTCAGCAGTGCTAAGGTTGGGAAACGCTGCCTCACAAAAAAAAGCTGCTCTCCCTTTCCTGGGCCCTTGTAATTCTGGTGAACTCATTTTCTTTTTCCATGTAGACTATATTGCCTTCCTTCTTAGCCCAGCTCCTTCTTGAAATTTCCCTGATGTATTTCTCTGTACCCAAGACCTCAGCAACACTCAGCTCCTTAACTTCGACTTGCCTGTCCCACCCTTCACTCCTCAACATGGTCACTTAAATTCTTTTGCCTCCTCTGTAGTAGTTTCCCTCCAAGCTTCTCTCCTTCTTGATTGCCCCCCTTGATCTATTTCAGAGCCTTGGCAGTCTCTGAGACGATCACAAGATCACACATTACCAGCACTTTTCATTTTGCCTCATATTATATTTTTCTTAAGAAGTGGAATATATCTTGAGAATGAAATTTCCTTTAGGATAAATTCTGTGTCTGTTTCTTCTTTATAAACACCCATATCACTTAATACTAAATCTTTAACAAATATGTCCTAATGGAGTGAATTAGCAAGTGAATATACTTTCAGGTATATTTGTTCATTTAATCCTCAACAATCTTGTAAGATAAATGTCATCATCATGAAGAGAATCCTGAGAGTTAGAGAGACTGTGACTAAGCTGGAAAATGGAAGCAAGATGGATAGCATCCCTAGCCCTGTGCCTGCCACATTGCATGATTAAAATTTTTTAAATATAATCTTCACAGTAATTTTGCAAGGCCAGTAATAACAGTGTTGTTTTGAATATGAGGATATTGACCTTCAGAGTGGTTAAGTAACTGGCCTGGAACCACACAGCTGGTGAGTCTCAGGAGCATGGATTTATGACCTGTCCAACTTCAAAACCTGAGATCTTTTTTGATCTGGTCATACAGTCATACAACTACTACACTACATCAGGTACATCAGGACTAAGGCCTGTGTCTTCCACCTCCAAGTCCAGCTGTCTGTCTGTTATGCTTTAGCTCAGAGATATCATTTCTAGGGGACAAACAGAGCAAGAGAAAGTGAATAGAGAGATAATCACAGAATAGAATCAGAAGAGAGAAGTTAACCAGATGGGATTATTCCATTCCTCTATGACTAAGAGTACATGGGGATGTTGTGTGTGTTGGGATGAGGGTGGGGCACTCATCTACTTTGAGCCAGAATGTTCTAAGATGAATGGGAAATGCCAAAACATTTTTAGGTTTGCATATGTGGATTTCACCTTAATTGTAGCATTCTGTTATCGAAGACAGATAGCTATAGAATACCCTCCAGAATAGGCAGCAAGATGCCAATTCATTTTGAAAATGCATTGCTTGTCTCAGGGAAACACTTTCCACCATCTAAATCAGCCCATGAGTTATGGCCTTAGAGTGAAAGGTGTTCTGTATTGTCCTAGGCTGCCACTGCAGGGCCGCATCCAGGTCTTTGCTCTCTGGAAAGCTTTCAGAATTCGACACACACTCCTCCTGTGCTGAGCCTGCAGCTTGCCCAGTGCAGACAGGGGATTGAAATTCTGCAAACCTAATGCAAAGGGAGGCAATTTGCTGGAATGGAAAGAACACAGCTCTAGGACAGAAAGTGCCACTAACCAATTGTTGTCTCCTTGCTTTAGTTTCTTTATCTGTGAAATGGATAAAATACCTGTCAGGATAGAATGGAAGAGCTGAAGAGTAAATGAGGAAATCTATCCTCAACTGGGAATTGTGAACAGTTGTTACTAGTTTATTTTCATTTTCCCTTCTGTCTGCTCCTCCTTCCCAGTAGCTAGCTACTCATCTTCTCTCACAAGCATGGGAATGAAGGGGGAAAGCAGAAGAAGGAAGGAGCCTGGCAAAGAGGATAATGGAGGAGGGTGGAATGTGGGAGGTACACGTCCAGGTGCCCTGGGCTGATCCTGAAGCCTTTGGGAAGAAGGGTGCTACCAGAAGAGGCTGAGAGAATGGTTTCAGCTATAGGGCCCAGGTGACAAAGCAGTACAGGGCCCACTTCTCCACGTCTGCCCAGGTTCCAGCTCCTCAAGCATTGAAAAGCTGGAGAGCAACTCTGTGTTACAACTTCAGTGTGGACACAGCCAATCTCACCATGGCCACAAGCAAACAAAGCTTCTCCAAGCAGCTTAGTGGTTGGCAGTCCACAGGGATGGCAGAGCAGTTTGTGAGCTTGTTTGAAGTACAGCTCCAGAGCAAGTGTGTGTGTGTGTGTGTGTGTGTGTTAGGCCTGCTCTCTCACTGGAAAAATCTGCCAAATGTTCAACACAACACCGGGCACCAAGTCTGCAGACAGTCGATAAGCATCTCCCGCCCACTGCTTTGCCTTCCCCACCTCCTCTCCCACCCTTTGTAAGATGGCATGTCTCTGCTCTCTGTGTTTCCTCCTGATTGCTTTCATCAGTGCCAGCCCATGGCCAACAGAGAGCAGTGGTGGATTTTCGGCTGAAAATGAAGTAGGCTGGTTTAAGGAATTGGTCTCAGTTCAGGGCTTTTCAAGGATGGGCTAATGCACGCCTACTACATGTTGCAGCCCTGTATTTGCATTGAAGGGGGGAGTTGAGAGGAGTCAGTATCTGCCTCATTTCTACATTAGCAGAGAAATTAAAGACCTTTGCTCAAAGAGGGCATGGAGCATTGTAAGCAACTCTGGCCAAATCTGGGTGGTCCTTCAGGAAATCGCTCTTAGAATTTCGTGGCAATAATAACCAGAGTCCATTTTACACCTGAGCAAGCTCTCCAGGTTCCATCAGTTCATCAGTTTTCTAACCTGTGGAGCGTTTACTCACAGCACTGTGCATGTACTCCCTCCTCTGGTCCCACAGCACCCTGCCCACAGCCCCCTCTCTGAAAGGCCACCGACTTGATGGTGTGTGATTTATCCCACCTGTGATTTCTGTGAACTCATGAAAGGCAGGACTGTGCTGGCCCAATCTCCATGCACCAGATGTGTGAGGGTCAGCCAATGAGACTGCAGCCCTGCCCACAGCATGGGCCCATGGGTGGGCAGTACGGGCCACAGTGTGCACAGAACTAAAAACAGTACTAACACCCACTAGAAGTAGGTCCTCTTTGTATGACCAGGTGTGCAGGCAGTTCTGAAGTGTTTGTGGGAAGCTCCTTCTCCCACAGCTCTCCTCCTGTCCCCACCAGCAACCCGTGGAGAGCTCTGGCCCCTTTCTATTCCCATGCTCCACTGGCAGCTTCTTGGGGGCAGAGGCCATGTTTTAAATCGCCTTTGTGTCCCCAGTGCTGGCACACAGTAGGTGCTTCATACTCGTGTTTTATGCAGCACAGTAGGGAGATTGTAACTTTTACAGCTAACATTCCAGGACTGAAATCCCAGCACCCCCATCAAGTAACTGTACAACTTCAGACAAGTCATTTCAGCGCTCTGTCCCTCATGTATGGTGGGTTTGATGGTAATGTCACACATATACATTTCACACACAGACAGACACGTGCATACCTAATGACTGATAAATGTTTGCTGTTGAATTTACCTGAGTTAACAGGCATTTCCAGGCAAGGTCATGATGGGTGCTGTTTCTCTTTGTGATCCCCACTTCCTGACCTCTCTGTCCTGGCCCTTGTCCCAGAAACACCCTGCTGGGGCCATACAAGTGAAGGCTTGTTCATGCTGGTGCTTACAGTGCCATTTGAGGAGTCAGGAAGGGGTTAGAGTCACTGAGAAACTGATAGAGTAGACCTATGTGTGTGCCATTTTCCTGTGTGTTTTAGGCATCTTTGTGTTATCAGACCAGAGGTATTTACTGGTTAAATGAGGCTTCTGAAAGATATTGTGGCCTTTAAGCCTCGAACGCACAGTGACCCAAGAGACTGGCTGATCAAACCTAAGCTCTGAGAGCTCCGACCAAAACCACCTTGTTCACCATTATGTCCCAAAGTCACTGCACATCGTAACTGTTTAGTTATTCTGTTCATTCCA